AGGCATCAGGCAACACCTAGTCTCAAAAATAACTTCTACATGGCTTAAGTAGTAAAGCTCTTACCTACCTGGCAAGATTGAGGTCAGTGATGCAAAAACACAGAATAAGTAGATGAAAATCAAACATTAAAACAAAACAAAAACCCTAATTCCCCCCCCTCACTATTTTGAGAATCCCATAGTGTATGACTTTATATGTATGTTATTGTTAATTATCATAATCCTTATTGTGATTTGGGCAGTACGAGGGTTTGAACTCAGGGCCTTATGCTTGCCAGGCTCTGAGCTCCACACATGGATATTTATTGATTTAATTCATCTTCTTCATTACATAGCGAGTTGCGTTATAATTTTGTACATGTGAATAAAGTACTTTGGGTATATTCAGAAAAACCATAAAAACAAAATCCCAGTTTCCACTTTACATTCCTGTCATTCTCTCTCTCTCTCTCTTGCTCTCTCCCTCACTCACTCGCTCGCTCTTTTTGTGTGTGTGGGTCAGTCCTGCAGCTTGAACTCAGGGCCTGAGCGCTGTCCCTGAGCTTCTTTTGCTCAAAGCTAGCACTTCACCACTTGACCCACAGCACTACTTTCAGCTTTTTTGGTAGTTAATTGGAGCGAAGAGTCCCACATTCGTTCCTTCCTGGCCTGGCTTTGAACCACAATCCTCAGATCTCGACTTCCTGAGTAACTAGGATTATACGTGTGCACCACCAGTGCCTGGCTTTTCCTTTACTCTTAGGTCTAGATCTCACCTATGAGAAAGAACCCACACTATTGGCCTTTGCATCCTGGCATCTTGTAAGGAGACTTCATGTATTTGAATACACTCTGCTGTCCTAAGTGCAATTTTTCCGGGCATGTCCCTACCCTATGAAGCCAGAAGGAACAATAGAAACCCCAGGGGTCCTGATACCAGGAGAGAAGCAAGGAAGGCCCTGTAATATTGTTTTTTTTTAAATTTTATTCATTTATTTATTTTTGTTGGTCATTGGGCTTGAAGTCTGGGCCTGGGCGCTGTTCCTCAGCTCTTCAGCTGAAGATGAGTGCTCTACCACTTGAACCACAGCACCCTCTGGTTTTCTGAGTGGTTAACTGGAGATAAGAGTCTCATGGACTTTTCCTGTCTAGGCTGGCTTTGAACTGTGATCCTCAGATCTCAGCCTCCTGAGTAATTAGGATTACAGGTGTGAGCCACTGGTGCCTGGCTTAATTTAAATTTTTTAATATTTTTAATTGTAAAAGTGATGAACCAGGACATTACAGTTACACAAGTAAGTAATGAGTAGATTTCTTTTAATTTTTTTTTGTTTTTGAGATTATTTCTTTTTTTTTGGGTCCGGTCGTGGGGCCTGAACTCTGCACCTGGGCGCTGTCTCTCAGCTCTTCAGCTCAAGGCTAGCACTCTACCACTTGAGCCACAGCGCCACTTCCAGCTTTTTTCTTTTTGCTTATGTGGTGCTGAGGAATCGAACCCAGGGTCTCAGGCATGCAAGGCAAGCACTCTACCACTGAGCCACCTTCCCAGCCCCAAGTATATTTCTTTTTTTTTTTTTTTAATTGTAAAGATACTATACAGAGGGTTACAGTTACATGAGTGAGGTAATGAGTACACTTCCTCTTGAACATTGTTACCCCCTCCATTGTTTTCCCCCTACCATCCCCTCCCTCCCTCCCTTCCCCGAGGTTCTTTTTTTTTTTTTTTTTTTTTTGATTGTGATTAAGTGATTACATAACTTCCGGAAATTCACAGTATTGTGGAATAATGAGGCTCATTTAAAGTCACAAGTTCATTCTAACTTTCCTGGAGCAAATTGTCTACCACAGTCTGTAAGATATAACGGTGTTCACATGTTATATACCATATATGTGATCAGCAGCATGGGGATATTTAGTAGTGGTTCAACCAAATGAGTGGGAGTTCTTTGTTTCTTAAGTCCTGTTAGTTTTGTCATATCACCTAACATTTTGGATTTAGCATCCACTTATCAGGGAGACCATGTACCGTTTGTCTCTTCGTTCTTGGCTTACCTCGCTCAACATGATTCCTTCTAGCTCCATCCATTTCCCTGCAAATGCCATTATTTTGTCATTTCTAATGGCTGCATAATATTCCATTGTGTATAGATACCACAATTTTTTGGATCCATTCATCTGTGGTGGGGCATCTAGGTTGGTGCTTGGCTTTTTTGAATTTTCTTGAAGTGTGAAATAATTGTCTTTTTGGGAGAACTTGGAGTAAAGGGACACTAAGTAGGGTCAGCCAGCTTACAGTCATTACTAATTCCTTTGGATCCTGCACAATCCTGGCAAGAGAGGAGATGTGAGGTCCCCAGAACATTCTAACTCATATCTATATCTAACTCTCATATCTATCTATCTATCTACTATTTTTTTTGTCGATAATGGGGCCTGAACTCTGGGCCTGAGCACTGTCCCTCAGCTCTTTAGCTCAAGGCTAGTGCTCTACCACTTAAGCCACAGCACCACTTCTGGCTTTTTCTCCTTATGTGGTGCTGAGGAATTGAACCCAGGGCTTCATGCCTGCAAGGCAAGCACTCTGCCACTGAACCACTTTCCCAGCCCTCTATCTACCTTTTTCCCAGTACTGGGGTTTGAACTCAGGGTCTTGCTTGAATGTCAATCTACCACTTGAGTCACACCTCTAGCCCTGTTTTTTGCTGGCTATTTTAGAGATGGAGCTTAGCGAACTTTTCTGCCTTGAACTACAATCCTCTAGATCTCAGCTCCCTAAGTAGCTAGGATTGCAGGCATGAACCACCAGTGCTGGTCTCAAGTGATTTTTTTTTTCCTTTAAGCTCATGCTGTCTTTGTAGTGGAAAGAATTTTACTTTAAAATCTTGGTGAGTTCTTAGGACTTAGGCCTTTTAGCCTGGAGCTGTCAAAAAGGTCACACGCTAGGTCCCTAGGACGGGGTGGCAGCCAGGACAATGATATAACCCCAGTTGTGCTTTGGGGAGGTAACTTGCTTATGTGGTTGTGTTTGTGGGGGTGACTGATAGGAAGGTGCAACTTGAGGTCATACAGAACAAACAAACAAACAAACAAACAAGTGTTGCACAGTTCTAGTTCTGTCTAGAGCTAGACAGGCAGCCAAGAGTGATGTAGAAAGTGCTAGAAGCAAGGACTTTGTGAAAATAGAATGAGAGATTGTGGTAAATTAGAGTGTACAGTTCATGGAGCAAAGGGAAGGAAAAGAGAATGAGTTAAAGGTGGTGCCCTTGAGAGAAATGGACCCACGCTGATTCCAGAACATTCTAGCATTGTAAAACAACCAACCAACCCTTTGGCTTCATTCTGTTCGCTTCACAGAGGATGAGGAGAGGGCGCCAGGACCGCCTGAGATATGTTAAAGTCCAATGGCGCCCCCTCCCCTTGGGGGGAGGGTGGTGGGAGAAGGCTTGTTGAATTTAAGATTAATCTAATTCAGTTAATCATTTCTGGTAATGATGTTCTTAATGGTACAGCATTAGGTTTAATAATTGATCAAGTGAAAGGTGATAAATCCTGAAAGAATGACTCTGAGCAGGTGGGCAGGTAGCTTTCGAAGAGTTTCTTGGTGTAGTGTGTCTTTTGGGAAACACAGATTTTTGTTTTAGATTTGGACCACCTTAGGGACATTAGAAAAATACACACATGAAAATAGCACAGTGCAATCTATTAAAATTGTGTTGGAAGTGGGGGGGCAAGGGGAGGGAGAGTGATAGAGGGGTGTTTTTGATGAGGGCATGCATGTGTAGAAATGCTACAACAAACCCTCCTGTGTGACTGGTATGTGGTCCTAGAATGTTCAAACAATTTGAATCAGTTAACAAGGACAAATTAGAAAATTAACTTTTAGCCTCCTCCCATCTTCTTAGCAAAAACAATTATACAGCTGATCTCCAACCTACCAGGGTTCAGTTAAACATAAAAGTTTATGTTTTGATACCATCACTTTGTGATGGTATCAAAGCTTGCCAATGCAGCCATTACATTTTGAGAATAATATAAAGTATGAATTATAATTTATCACCTTTCACTGGATCAACCATTAAATCTAATGCTGTACTACTAAGAAGATAATTATGAGTTATGTAACACCCTCTTATAGAACAAGCTTTGTTTTCGACGATTTTTCCCAACTGTGGGTGAAAAAGTAAGTGCTCTGAGAAACCTTAATGTTGGCTAGACTGAGACAATGGTGTTGGTAGATTAGGTGCATTAAATACATTGTGTGTGTGTGTGTGTGTGTGTGTGTGTGTGTGTGTGTGTGTGTGTGTGCCAGTTCTAGGACTCGAACTCAGGACTTGGGCACTGTCCCTGAGCTTTTGTGATCAAGGTTAGCGCTTTACCACTTGCTCCACAACTCCACTTCTGGCTTTTTGCTGGTTAATTGGATATGAGAGTCTCATAAACTTTTTCTGCCTGGGCTGTCTTCAACCCACAATCCTCACACCTCAGCCTCCTGAGTGGCTAGGATTTCAGGTGTGCCTGGCATCCAGGCTCCTCTATTTGACAAGTGACTGAGGCCCAGGAGTTTCTTTGAAAGGATTCCTTTCCAGAACATTGTCTACTAGTTACCAGAAGCCTGACTGGCACATGGCGCTAGGCCCCGGGCTCTCCAGAGGACATGGAGTTGAACCCTCTGGAGTAGCCTTGAGAAGACTTTTCTGAGAGCTCCATGGGTTGGGGGCCTCCCTGTGTCTTCATTACTTAGTATGGGGCTCACAGGAGACTCACTGATGATCTGTTTTGGGGATACATCCCCCTGCCTTGTCTCTAATCTTTTCCACCTTCACCATTTCCCAAGGTACTCCCCCCCCTCCCCACATTTTAGGGGAGCAAGTGACTCAAACATCCATCACAGTCAAGACCCCAGCTTGCCCTGGGCTCTCACGTCCTTCTTTGGCAGACTGCATCTCTTCTGTCTTTGGCCCATCCCAAGGGTCTTGGTGAAGCCTGGCATCCACACCTGACTTTGTGTTTGCGTTTTTCAGATCGGAGCCTCTCTGTTCGCCAGTAACATCGGAAGTGGACACTTCGTCGGGCTGGCGGGGACGGGCGCCGCCTCAGGCATTGCCATGGGGGGCTTTGAGTGGAATGTGAGTAACATCAGAACCAGGGAGTCCTCCTGGTGGAAAGAACCTGTACTGGGCAATCATGACTACCACAAAATTCCCGAGGCAAGCTAATCTTATAAAGAAAAGAACCCCTATTGAGCACATAGTTGGAGATTAAAAGTCCCAACAGTTTGGTATAGACTCTTAGAAGGCCCCCCCGCCCCCCCTCCCCACCTCATAGTAGATGGCAATGGTGGTGCATGTGTTAGAGCTAGAGAACATGGCACCCATATGTGGGGGGCCAGAGAAGCTGGGGGAGACCACAATCAGGCTTTTTTTTAACCTCAGGGCCTGGACCATTTCTTCATACTTTTTCTCAGGGTTGGCACTCTTGTCACTTGAGCCACACCTCCATTTCCAGCTTTTCCATGGTTCATTGGAGATGAGAATCTCACAGACTTTCCTGCTCCGGCTGGTTTGACTAAGCAATCCTCAGATCTCTGCCTCCTGAGTAGCTAGGATTGTACAGGCATGAACCACTGTGCCAGGCTGAGGCTCAATGTTTTGTTTTGTCCGTTGTGGGGCTTGAACTCTGGGCCTGAGCGCTGTCCCTCAGCTCTTCAGCTCTACCACTTGAGCTACAGCGCCACTTCCAGGCTCAAACTTGTATAACAACCCTCCCTCTAGACCTATAGCCAGGAGAAAGGCATCACTTTCCGAGCAGTGCTCTCAATTACCTAAAGTCCTGCCATTATGCTCCACCTTTTAAAGGACCCATCACCTCCTACTGAACTAAGGAATATGTCTGGAAGATGTAAAACCTTGTGTGGACATTTGTTAGATCAGATCCAAGAGTGAGTCTTAGAACTTAGCCAGTTTAGTCAGTAGAGGAGATTGAGATGTTAGGGAGCCCCTTAAAGACACCTGGAGCATAGATGGGAGGGGTGGGGTATATGGAGGCAAGCTCAGGACCCTACCTCCCTTTTACCATAGTAGCAGGAGATGGTCCCCCCACCCCTACTGTTTATGGCCTTTTTTTCCCCTGGATGTTAAAAAGACAAGGACCTTAAGGACCTTGGTACCCTTCTAGCCAGTTTGGAGATGTTTACCATTATTCCCCCCCTGCCCCTTCTTATGTTTCTCTAAATGTTATTTATTTAGTTATTTGCCAGTACTGGGACTTGAACTCAGGGCCTCTGGCTTTCTCTTAGCTTTTTGGCTTAAAGTTGGCATTCTACTACTTGAGCCATACCCCCCTGCTTGGGGCAGGGGCGGTTGTTGGCTCATTGGAGAGACAGTCTGATTTATCTGACTGAGCTGGTTTTAGACTATAATCGGATCCTCAGCTCTCAGCCTCCTGAGTAGCTAGGATTTCAGGCCTGGGCTACCAGCATCCAGCTCTCCATGGGATTTTACATTGTAAATCAGAAAGGAGGCGGAGGGGAATCCACAGCTCTGGATGGCACCCTAAGGGTTGTGATGTTTGTGGGCAGCTTCTAAGCTTTCTGTGGGGCAGAGCCTCATAAAGGTGTGAGGTGTGTCCTCAGAGCTTCATAAAGGAAAATTCTGATTGATTTGTCTCTAGCAGCAAGGGGTCCTTCAGTTAAGCAGGGATGAGTTAAAGTATCTCCTGGTTTGAATCCACCTCTTCTTTTGGTTTCAGGCTCTGGTTCTTGTGGTTGTTCTGGGCTGGATTTTTGTCCCCATTTACATTAAGGCTGGGGTAAGTATCTTCTCCCTTATTCTTGCCTGCTTGTAAATACATACATGAAAGGGAGGAGTCCCTTGTTGAGAAAAATCCCATAAAAATGAGATTACAGAATGAGAAAAGCTATAGTTTGGCTTTCATTGTCAGTTTGTAAATATAGTTTCTTCTGGCTCTGAGTTCATGTCCAAGATTATGACTGTGACCTGTAGGATGGTCCCTTGAGCAGCCCCATTCTGTTTGGACCCTGTGTTTCCTTGAATTGTTTGTGGTGAAATGGTCTCTAGTAATGGTCTCTAGTCTCTACTCTTAGAAAAGGAGCAGAGACAGAAAAAGGATTCTATTTCCCTTTCATTTATGCATATGAGTAGATCTTGTATATTGAGTATGCAGCTGGAACCCAATGGTCAAATACATGGTTGGTCCTTTTCCTCTCTGACTTGGACATAGGATAGCTTTAGTACACCTGCTCAGTGAGGTAGAAACAGCATCTCTCATGCACAAGTTTACACGTCAGGAGCCAAAGGCAGTATGCGATACACTCAGGGCAGACTCTTCATCTTCTGGAAGTTCCCAGGTGGTGGATAACACATGTTGCAGTGGGACAAGGGCTAAGTGTGGAGGGAGCAAGACAGGAAGTGAGGTTGGACTTTGCAAAAAGGACCTAGGTGCACATTTGGGCAGGCCTGCAGCCACATTCCTTTGCACTGCCTGAGTGGAGAGTCTTGGCCAAGGTCAAATTCGGCCTTGGCCAACTTGTTTGGTCCACTGGCAGGAGGATAGATCCTTGTCTTGTTTGCATAGGTGATCTGTATGGTCATCTCTATAACACATATAATATGTGATGTATTACATATACATAGTATATAACATAATACATCACATATTATATTTTATATGATGTATTAAATATTGTTTTTATAAAGGTTGCATATAATATAATGTACATAATATATGACATACTATACATTGCATATCCTATATTATTATGTCATATAATACATCATTTAAAATATATATTATTTAATTATTTAGGTATGATTTAAATATTACATAAATATTCAAGTATTAAATTATTTAATGTATTTGACATATCTTTAAAAATATAACATAATACAAAGAACATGTTATTTAGTATATATGATGCATAATACATACTATGTAACATATTGCCCATGATATATATCATATACAATACATAACAATAAATAATATAATAATACAAATGATGTATACAATATATTATCTAGATCTATATAGTTATTTATACTTATATTTGCATTTATATTTATTTATATTTATGTCTCTCCTTCTCTGGGCTTACTTTACTATGTCCAGTCATGTGTTCATTCAGAAGCAGGTGTTTTACTGTACATTTTCTGTGTATTAGGATAACATCAGCTTCTTTTCTAGTGGAGTAAGTAAGTTCTCAAGGCCTGGAAAGCACACATGAGCTGGAAGTTCAGGGGCATCTGGCTGCTTTGCACAGTTTCTGAGCCAACAGGATTATGAATCCTTCACCACACCAGGGTGGACCCTGTTTTTCTGCCCACGTGGGCCCTCTGGGAGCCTCTGGCTGGTAGTGACCTGGTCACTGTGGCTGGTGGTGACCTTCTTGCTCCTCATGCAGGTGGTGACCATGCCTGAATATCTGCGGAAGCGGTTTGGAGGCAAGAGGATCCAGATCTACCTTTCCATTCTGTCTCTGTTGCTCTACATTTTCACCAAGATTTCCGTGAGTATGCCGGCGTGGGGGCTGGGACTGTCTGCTTCGGAAGCTGCCCACTCTCATTGGCTAGCAAGCAGGGCCACCCTACCCACAGGCAGCTCTATTGTTCCCATGAACTCCGTTTGTAAGCCTTCTTGTTCCTGGGGCCAAAGATCAATTTCATGCATCAAGGAACCAGTGGCCTTCAATGGAACTGCTTGTTCACCTCTGTCGTCTGGGGTAAAACCATAACAGGCTTATGCAGGTTCAGTTAGCGCTGTTATTAATACAAGATTAAGAGGCAATTAGGCTGGTAGCTCATGCCTTATAATTCTAGCTACTCAGGAGGCTGAGATCTGAGGACCACAGTGGCAGACAAATCCAAGAGCCTCTTCTCTCCAATTAACCAGCAAAAAGCCAGAAGTGGAAAATGTGGCTCAAGTGGTAGAGTGCCAGCCTTGAGTGCAAAAACCTAGGCAAGAGCACAAAGCTCTGAGTTCAAGCATATGTTAGTTAGCTCAACTGGTCCTTCAATAATGTACATACAAACATACATACATATATTATTTTTTTTGAGGGGGTTTGAACTCAAGGCCTTACACTTTCTGGGCAAGTGCTCTATCACTTGAGCTGCACCTCCAGTCTGACTTTTTGCTAGATAATTTGGAGATGGAGGCTAGCAAACTTTTTTGTCCAGTCTGGTTTTGAACTAAGATCCTTAGATCTCATGCTCCTGAGTAGCTACGGTTACAGTTGTGAGCCCTTGGTGCCCAGCTCACAATATATCCCTGTTTTAAAACATTGTGTTATATATGAGAAATATATAGACATTTCATTTGTCAATTAAAAAGAATAAAGAGATTAAGGTTATCTATGGGCTGGCCTCAATCCTAAGACAGTCTGTGTTCTGATTCCAACCAGTGCCAACTCTGCAAGGGACTGCTGGATTCATTTGCTTGTTTATTTGTTTAATATTAATTTATGTTTTGTTCTTTTTTTAATTTATATTTTCTTTGAGAGAGGTAGGTGTCTTAGTCTATTTTTTCATGTGCTTATTGGCCATTAAAATTAAATTATATGTTTATTATCTTTAAGTAGTTATACAAAGGAGTTACCACTCAACAAATTGGTTTATGAGTACAATGCATCTTGATTGATGTCTCCTCTCTCAATCTCCCCATCCCTCCTAACCCAAGGCCTCCCCTTTATTTTCTTAATTTCATAGACTATGCATTGAATTTTTATGACTACGTCTCCAATCCCCTTCCTCTCGTCATTCATCTATCCTCCCCCTGCCCCCACCTTCCACCTTTCAAGCACTAGTTTCTTGGTATTTATTTTTACAATTTATCTGTTATTATTAACGTGTTTGCAGGGGAGTTATAAATCAGGTAATAAGTACATTTTTTTTGGACAATGTCACCCCTTCCCTGGTATTCATTTTGTTGGACTGTGACTTAGTCTTTCTAATGAATTACACCATTTGAATTGTCCTGTGTAAGTACCATATTTTGCTCAATACACTTATATATATTTGCATACAACCCCCTTGTGTTTATTTGTGCATTTATAAATTGGTTATAGCTTTCACATATGAGAGAAAACATGCATCCTTTGTCTTTCTGGCTTACTTCCCCTAACATATTTTTTTTCAAGTCCATCCATTTCTTTGCAAATGATGTAATATCATTCTTCCTAATGGAAGAATTGTGCCTATATACCATATTTTCACCATCCATTTGTCCACTGAGGGTCACCTGGGCTGTTTCCATGCCTTGGCTTTGGTGAATAGTGCAGCAATGAACATGGTTGTGCAAGTGGCTTTATTGTATCCTGATTTGTAATCTTTTGGGGGAATTCAATGTCTTAGTCCATTTTTTTGTTGCGCTTGAAAGGATCTGTCACATCCATCCCAGGGGACCAAGCAGAGGCAGGCAGGCACAGGAGAAAGATTATTACAAGGTTTATTTGCACATGGCATCCTCCACTATCTAGGTAGCAGCAGGGTCTGAGTGGTAGGAAGTGAGGTAGATGGGAGTTCAGGTGGGTCTGGCAGAGAGAGGCAGGGGCCAGCTGTGTGGCGGGAACTCCAAGGCAGGGAGGAGCTCAGGTCTGGGTGGAGCTGAGGACCAAAGGTGGGCATAATGCTTACAGCACTGAGGTTCAAAGTGGTAAAGCACTATCCTTGAGCAAAAGAGCTCAGGGACAGCACCCAGGCCCTGAGTTCAAACCCCATGACAGACAAAAAAAAAATCAAGGCATGGCTTCATAAAAGCGGGAAAGGCATCGATCTAAGAAGGGAACACAGAATGTAAGTAGGAAGGTGGGGAGTCATACAAGAAGGAAAGGTAGGCAGGTGAGGGAGCTGTACCTCCATTAGGCTTATATTTAATGAGCCTATAGAGAAAGGTGCTGGGCTTTCCTTATTCAGAGGCAAGCACTTTCCAAGTCCACAGTTCAAGCTGGAGAGAGTCTGTTGCTTACAGTTGTCAAGGAAAGGGCAGTCTCTTCCCTTGGAGCTGGCATAGGGGTAGTCATATAATTAAACTAGTGCCCGACCTCTCTTCCTGACTTCTCTACCACCTCGCCTAGTCTTCAGGTTACTGATTAAACTGCCCTGGACTTGAGAGTTTCTAGGTAGCTGAGGGGCAGTTTCTTTAGGCTTAGATTCAGATTCATTCTCCAGAAGTCTCAGCTTTTCTTTTCTTTTTTCTTCTTCTAGATTTTGGATTTGAATTGTACATGGTTTCTGGGTTCTTCACTAGGGATTCTGACCAACATCTTACCGCATGTGAAATTGAATCACAGATTAGTACCATCTGTTTGCATGTGTACACATATATGTCCACATTTATGCACACTCAAACATGACTGTGTGTACATATGGATGTTTTTAAACATCAAAGGATACTCTTGCTGTTATTGTTTTATCTACTTTTTTTTTTTTTTGGCTGTAGCCTTGAGAAAAAAAATCTTAAAGACAGCTCCCAGGCCCCGAGTTCAAGCCCCAAGACTGGCACACACACAAAAGAAAGGACCTATGTCTACAAAAATCACTCTACTCAGGGAAATCGGAAGTATAACCTTCATTGATTTATATATACTCTTCATTGATCTTCTCCTTCTGCTGTCTTTCTATTTGAACTTAGGGCCTGGGTGCTGTTCCTGAGATTTTTTTTTTCTCCTCAAAGCTAATACCTGACTGGTTGAGCCACAGTTTCATTCCTAGCTTTTTTTCTGGTTAATTAGAGATAGGAGTCACATATACTTTTCTGCCTGCATTGGCTTTACACTGTGATCCTCAGATCTCAGCCTCCTGAGTAGCTAGCATGACAGGCTTGAGTCACTGGCACTCAGCCCTCACTGTCTTCCAAGTCTTACATTCTCCAAACACTGAGCTGGTTAAATTCAAGACCCTGGGAAAAATGAGAGCTGGTTAACTGAACCTCACATTATAAGTGAATTCCCCAAATAAGGAATGGGAAGGATCTAAGAAGGACCTGAAGAGGAACATTGGTGCCAAAGGGCAAGGCTTTATCCTTGTAAATTCCATTGGCTTACTATGAGTCATGGAGCATGGAAGTTGAAAAGGAATTACACTGAATTAGCTGAGTCTGTGAGGAGTGAGGAGCCTAGAATACAGAGGTAAGGACTCATAGATTAAAGAGAAAAAAAAAACCCCTGTTAATAAAGTATAGTGGTAAAGTATTTCTACCACACAAAGATGAACGTGTGTGTGTGTGTGTGTGTGTGTGTGTGTGTGTGTGTGTATGGTTTGTGATATGTGAGAAGAGGAAACACCATTCAGATCCACCTCAGGAGTTTTGGCAGGATCCATCAGGTGTATAATTGGTGGGAGACAGAAAGCAAAGGGAAAATGGAATCATGTAACATGAGGGTAGGGATAGGATGTGGAAAGATGGGGAAGAACCATAGAAGAGGTAGCATGGATCAAGATGTGTTGTTCTCATAGATCTAAGCTGTTGAGAAATCCCTGTGGACAACTACTTACAAACAAAACTCAAACCCAAACCAGAGGCCAAAAGAAAGCCAAAGGCTGCTATCTTGTGGCCTTGTTCTTTTGTGTTCTGAGATCTAGTGCACTTCATAAACTCCTGGATTTTATTGACCCTTGTGAGTTCCTACCTTTATCAAGTTCTGAGAAGCGTTCTGTGCGGCAAGATTTCCGCACACAGTGTATCTTATCCAAATATGCATAATCACTTGAGATAAAGCTCCAATTTTATGCTTTGCACGTGACAGCTAAATGTCTCTGTTCCTATTTCCCCTGGGCGATTATCAGAGATCATGAGGGCAATAAACTTTTATGGCAATTCTACCATGTATTTGGAAGCCTTAGGTCATGATCAAAAGCTTTGGCTTTTGATGAAGGTTCAGATATTAAATTGCTGGTGCTGTTCACTTTCACAAATGGAAAGCGATATGATAGTGATGAGGCTTGGAAACCTCATTGCCTCAGGCAGGATTTACTGAAAGGCTCAGCTGCATGTTGGTTAGGATAAAAAACAGGTAGAGAACACACACACACACACACACAGAAAATCACAGCATCTTAACATATCTGAGTGGAGGCACCGCAACCTGCCTGGGACTCATCGCAAGTAGAGGCTCAGAGGTTTTCCAGCTGAGGCCTGAATCTTTAAACTGGCAGTGGGGAAAGGGGAGACATATACTTTTCTATAAGAGTGCCCTATATGTTGCTCATTCAAACTTGCAAAGTAATGGGAGCCATGCCTTTGGGCAAAATCCAACCTTACTATCTGCTGTGTCAATAAAGTTTTATTGGAACCCAGCGAGGTCCATTCGTTTACTTTGTTTACTTTATCCGCGGTTGCTTTTATGTTGCAGGGGCTATTTGTCAGAGATGTAGTTCATGAAGTCAAAAACATTCACTACCTGACTCTGTATAGAAAAAGTTTGCCAAAAGTATGTTCTCTGGTTTCAAGGAACATACTTTAAACATTTCATTTTAGGGTGGTTTTGCTTAGCAGCATTGGGCAAATTTCCTTCCCCTCTTCTTCTCTCCCCTCTCCTCTCCTTCCTGCCCTTCATCTTCTCTTCCTACATCTTTCTTCTCCTTTCCTTCTCTTTCTTTCCTTCCGCTTCTTCCATCTCCTTCCTTCCCCTCTCCTTTCCTTCCCTCTCTTCCCTTCCTTTCCCCTCCTACCCCTTTTCTTCTTTTCCCTCCCATTCCTTTCCTTCCTATTTTTATTTCTTCATTTCCTCTATTTCATCCTTCCTTCCCTTCCTCCCTCCCTCGCTCTCTGTCTTCAAGGCTAGTGCTCTATCACGTGAGCCATAGCTCCACTTTTGTTTGGCTCTTTGCTGGTTAATTGGAGATCGAGCCTCATGGACTTACCTGCCTGGTTGCCATTGAGCTTCGTCTCAGATGCCAGCTTTCTGTGGAGACATTACCGGTGTGAGCCACCAGCACGCATTTCCCCTCTTCCCGCCACCATATAAAAAGCCATAATCATAAATAGGGTCCCTATCCTCATAATGGCCTTTTATTCTCCAAATACCATCAAAAATATGGATTTGGGGACTGAGGTTCTAATGCATGAACTCTTGGGGGTATACACTGAAACCATCCTGGAAGGAGGGGAAGGTCTAGGGGCTAGGGTCTAAGTGACTGGAGAGCTCTGGAGAGCTGGAGTGGGGCTGAGGAGGAGGAAGGATGGAGAATAGAGAGGAGCTGTAACAGAGCTGAATTAAAAAAATCTAGGGCTTTGAGCCCTTTTCATGCCTTGAAACCCATTGGATTTTGTAAAACCTCATGCAGGGGCTGGGAAGTTGGCTCAGTGGTAGAGCGCTTGCCTTGCATGCCTGAAGCCCTGGGTTCGATTCCTCAGCACCACATAAGCAAAAAGAAAAAAGCCGGAAGTGGCACTGTGGCTCAAGTGGTAGAGCGCTAGCCTTGAGCTGAAGAGCTGAGGGACAGCGCCCAGGCCCAGAGTTCAGGCCCCACGACTGGACCCCACCCCAAAAAAAAATCCAAAAAAACATCATGCATCTCATTCAGGAAAGTCTAGTTTCTCCATGATAGATTCACTTATGATAGTGTGGTTATTTTGGAGAGAACATGAACATTGATTTTGGGAGACCTTAGCGCCCTCTGCTGGTGAGTATTAGCAACTGCACCATCCTGTAAAGTCGAAGATTCATTATGGGACAGGGAGAAGAGAGAAGGTGAAAAGGATCGCATTGAGAACATAATTAATGGGTTCAGGAGCAAAGAGGGATCAATCCCCTGAGAAGAGAGATAATTTAGATAGAACCAGTTGTGAAGAAAGCCTACCATGTCAGAGGGATTTGGTGATGTTCTGGGTGTGTTTGGTTTGTGGGTTGGGAAGATAAAAATTTTAATCGTGCTGAAGTTTCTCTCCACTGTTGGAGTGATGGTTATGGTGTTGAGTTTCCCACTCATCGGCTCTAAAGAATTTAGACTTGCTTTTGGGAATAGATCTGATAAGCCATGTTCACCAAACCAAGGTTAAAAGCTACCCACAGCCAGGTGCCAGTGGCTCACACCTGTAATCCTAGCTACTCAGGAGGTTGAGATCTGAGGATTGCATTTCAAAGCCAATTGGGGCAGTAACATCCATGAGACTCTTATCTCCAGTTAGCCACCAGAAAACCGGAAGTGGCGCTGTGGCTCAAGAAGTAGAGCACTCTCCTTGAGCTGAAGAGCTGAGGGACAGGGCCCAGGCCCAGAGTTCAAGCCTCAGGACCAAAAACAAAACAAACAACCCTCCTTCCCCCCAAAAACAGCAAAAAACCACCCACAATGTCTGGGCACCATGTCTCATGCCTGTAATCATAACTACTTAGGAGGCTAAGATCTGAAGATAGAGGTTCGATGCCAGTCAAGCCAGGGAAGTCTGTGAGACTCTTATCTCTAATAATTCACCAAAAAGCTGTAAGTAGAGATGTGGCTCAAATGGTAGAGTGCTAGCCTTAAGCACAAAAGCTTAGAGATAGCACCCAGGCCCTGAGTTCAAGCCCCAGGACCAGCACGTAGACATAAACACAGACAGACACACACAGACAGACACACAGACAGACAGACAGACAGACAGACAGACAGACACACACACAGACACACACACAGACACACACACACACACACACACAGACACACACACACACACAACCCCAAACCAGAAACAACAACAATAAACCCCACCCATTATGGATGATTATGAGCAACAGTCTATAGGTGGGTTGGAGATAAGGTGTTGATTGTTGTTCCTTAGCAAAAAAGCCTTTTTAGACTTTTTTTTTGTGCTAGTACTGATGCCTGAACTCAGGGCCTTACATTCTTCTTTAGTTTTTGTTTTGTTTTTTTTTTTTTTTTTTCCGTCTCGAGGCTGGTGCACTATCACTTGAGCCACACCTCCACTTCTGGATTTTTGCTAGTTAGTTGGGGTTAGGACTCTGATTCCAACCTTGAGCCTCAGATCTTAGCCTCCTGAGTAGCTAAGATTATAGGCATGAGCCATCTGGTGCACAGCAAAAAAAGACCTTCATTGTTAATTAAGTTTAAAAGCATCCTGTACTATCTTACCTTTCTAGAGATTTGCAGTCTGTGGTCTATCCTAAAGGATCAGAGAAGTTGTATAGCAAAGAATCTGGCTTACATTTATTAAATCACAGATCTTTTTGGCCATGGAATATTTTCCCTCATGAATACCCAGTTACCACCTTCAATCACACTTGCTCAGGAGCTCATTGGCCTGTCTCTCCCCTAACTCTGCCTCTTTTCTCCTTCTAGGCAGATATCTTCTCTGGGGCTATATTCATCAATATGGCCTTGGGTCTGAATATCTACTTGGCCATAATTATCTTATTAGCAATCACTGCCCTTTACACAATTACAGGTAAGTCCATTCGAATGAACCAGCAGTTCAAGCCCAGGTACTTGTGAAGGATAAATGGAACTTAAGGAACGTGGTGGCTTGCCTTGAGGAAGACAGATGAGGGATCTTTTAAAGACATGTTACTCCGACTGGGTTAGGAAAGGCAGGATCAGCAATGGAACTTCCTGCTCAATTAGAGCCTCATATATTTGAGGGCAAGAAGTTAATAAGATGGTTCTAGGAAAGAGGGAGTGGCAAATTTGTTAATGTCCTCAGGAATTTTCACAGTCAACCCTTTGCTCTTCCCCTGTCTTCATTTGGCAATGTATCCTCCTACTACAGAGGACCTGTCTCCTTTGAACCATCTCCTGGCGTAAGAAAGTTTCGCAGAAGAGCTGGGCATCAGTGGCTCATATCTATAATCCTAGTGACTCAGGAGGCTGAGATCTGAGTTCAAAGCCAGCCAGGGAAGGAAAGTCTATGAAGCCTCTTTATCTCCAAAAAGCCACCCAGAAGCCAGGACTGGGGTGTGTGACTCAAGTGGTAGAAGACCAGCCTGGAGTAGAAAAGCCACGTGAGAGAGAGTAAGGCCCTGAGTTCAAGCTTCAGCACTGACATTAAAAAAAAAAGCTGGATGTCCTGAGCAGCAAGCATTGTAACAGGGATGGGGGGGGGGGGTAGAGGGGTGTGTGATATATGTGTGGCTCTCAGGAGGTATGCAAGAGATAGAGGGTGGAGTGGGGGTGGGAAGAGGAGGCGGGCACGGCTCAGCCTCCACAGGAAGTCATCTCTGTTGTCTTGTTTCCTGCTCAGGGGGCCTGGCAGCTGTTATTTACACAGACACTTTGCAGACAGCCATCATGCTTGTGGGCTCTTTCATTCTGACTGGATTTGGTAAGTAGGGCTAGGGCAGGGTGAGGGCAAGTAGCAGATACTTGGGATCCTAGGAAGAGAAAAGCCAATTTAATCCCTTTGGCTGCCACAGGCGCAGGCAGTGAACGCCATGTTCTCTGCTTCTCCAAGGGCAGTGGGGCAGCCCAGATTTGGCAGCCACGGTGGTGGGTGTGGGAAGCTTCCTCATCCTGGGAGGACTCAGGTTGGGTCAGGTACAGGGAACACCTTGATTCCCTGCTGTTCTCTATAGCTTGGGTCAGCAGGCCCAGCCAGGCTAGTCTGTGATAACCTGATTTCTGTCTGCAGAAAGGAGGCCAAAAAGAAGCCTGTAATGCTAGCTACTCAGGATGCTGAGATCGGAGGATCATGGCAGCAAAGTCTGAGACTCTTATCTCCAAATTAACCAACAGAAAACCAGAAGAATGATAGAGTGCTAGACTTGAGCACAGTACCCAGGCTCTGAGTTCCAGCCCCACAACTGGCTGAAAAAAATATAATATTCATCAAGATAAATATATTTTGAAATATCATTTTCCTTTTTTCTTTTTTTTAATCTTCCTTTATTTTTCTAAAAGAATAAATTTTAAAAATGGTTTGAACTTGGGGCTTGGCACTTGCAAGGATTTCTTACTCTTTTGCTGGTTAACTGGAGATGCTAGACTTTTCTTCCGTGGCTTGGCTTCAAACTGTAATCCTCCAGATCTTGGCCTCTTGAGTAGCTAGGATTACAAGTGTGAGCCATCTGCACTGACATTAACTAAAACATTTTAATTTTTTTTTTTTTGTCGGTCATGGGGCTTGAACTCTGGGCCTGGACGCTGTCCCTCAGCTCTTCAGCTCAAGGCTAGCACCCTACCACTTGAGCCACAGTGCCACTTCTGGTTCCCTGGTGGTTTATTGGAGATAAGAGTCTCACAGACTTTCCTGCCCGGGCTGGCTTTGAACCACGATCCTCAGATCTCAGCCTCTTGTGTAGCTAGGATTATAGGCATGAGCCACCGGCACCCGGGTGACATTTTAATATTTTAAGATACTTTTCACATAAACATTCACCAATGTTATATTTTTAGTCTTTGATGATATCTTGTTTACATTGTGATGTTAAATATTTTACTTTTTAATGAATTGATGGTAAGTGATCATTTCCCTGATAATGCCCTTATTTGACAAAATTTAAAAATTGGTGTCTTAAACATTCTCACCTCTCAATTTCTTAAAATTTCTTGAAAGACAACAGGGGAAATTCTAGCTCCAGAGATGCTTGTCATGAGAAGATAGAAAAATGCTTTTGTGTGTGTGTGTGTGTGTGTGTGTGTGTGTGTGTGTGTGTGTGTGTGTGTGTGTGTGTTGGGGCCTGAAGTCAGGGCCTGGGCACTATTCATGAGCCTTTTTGCTTAAGACTAGCAATCACCACTTGAGCCATAGCTCCACATCTACCTTTTTTTTTTCTTTCTTTAAGTGGTTGGTTGGAGATAAGAGTCTCACCCTGGCTTTGAACTGCAATCCTCAGATCTCAGCCACCAGAGTAGCGAGGATTATAGGTGTGAATCACTGGTGCCCAGTTCACAGTGCTTTTTTATTTTTAGGTATACAATACCCTCTTGAGTGAGCTGCAAAGATTTACCCATTTTCTAGCACTCAGGTTTCGAAAACTTGCATTTGGTTTGTCCTACTATATCCATCCTAGCAAGGAGGAGGCTGGCTGACTTATTCAAGGATGCACTGCTGAGAGGTGGCAAGCTTCCAAATTCCTCATTCAATCCTTAGCCACCCCCTGCATTTCTGGGTGATAGCTCTGTATCCAGCCTCCTGAACTGTGCATCTCTAGTCTGTGTTCTGAGTTCCAAGGATTGTGGCTGACAACAGGGGAGATGTAAACAATAGAATCTTTTGCATTATTTTAATTTTTATATTGGTCCTGAGACTTGAACTCAGGGCCTGGGCACTGTTCCTGAGGGTTTTTTTTTTTTTGTTTTTCTTTTTGTTCAAAGTTAGTGCTCTACCACTCAGGCCACAGCTCTGCTTCTGGCTTTTGGATGGTTAACTGGAGATAATAGTTTCATGGATTTTCCTGCCTAGGCTGGTTTTGAACCACGATCCTCAGATTTTAGCCTCCTGATTATAAACATGAGATACTAGGGTCTGGCATCAAAATCTTCCTAGAAATAATACCTCAAGATATTGTCTCAAAATGTCCTCTAAGAGGGATGGGCAGGGTTTAGAATCAAATGGGATGGAGAAAAAACCTGAGGCCCAGGATGGCAGGCACCTTGTCCAAGGCCATGTAGTAAAAACTCTCTTAGATGCTGAGGCCTCCATGTCTCAGGCACCTGCAGAAGAAACCAGTATATAAAAGAAAAGTTTGAAAGTATTTACCATACTTGTGTTTGTACCTATGTTCTCCAGCTTTCCACGAAGTGGGAGGTTATGAAGGCTTCATGGATAAGTACATGAAAGCCATCCCTACCTTGATTACCGATGGAAATCTTACCATCAGAAAAGAATGCTACACCCCAAGGGAGGACTCCTTCCATATCTTCCGCGATCCCCTCAAGGGAGACATCCCTTGGCCCGGACTCATCTTCGGACTAGCCATCCTTGCCTTATGGTACTGGTGCACAGATCAGGTACTGAAGTGGGTCAGGCATGGTGGACAGGCCCTCCCATGGTTTGTGGGGTTAAGAAAGATGGGAGAGAGAGCCAGGCACTGGTGGCTCATGCCTGTAATCCTAGTGACTCAGGAGGCTGAGATCTGAGGATCCAGGTTCAAAGCCAGCTTGGGTGGGAAAATCCTCTGAGATATTTGTTTCCAATTAACCACCAAAAAACCAGAAGGGACAGTGCTCAGGGCCTGAATTCAAGTCTCATGACTGAAAAAAAAATAAAAAAAGGGGAGAAGAGGATTCATGCTCTGTGGGTCACTGAGCACATGGGAGTCGTAGGACTTAGGATGGGGAATCTGGGCTAATGGGGTGGGGATGAGGCCGGACCTCTTCCTCACTGGACTTCCTGGGGCAGGTTATTGTGCAGCGGTGTCTCTCAGCCAAGAACATGTCCCATGTGAAGGCCGGCTGCATCCTGTGTGGCTACCTGAAGCTGCTGCCCATGTTCCTCATGGTGATGCCAGGAATGATCAGCCGCATCCTCTACACAGGTGATTCCTTCAACTGAAGGCACAACCATGGTTCTGCCTCTGAGATACTCCTAAAGCCCTGTAACGTCTGTGCCCCCACTCTTCCCATCTCTTCTTTTCTTGCCGCAGTTACTAAGCATCATTGTAGTTTCTGGAGACATCGAGCCAGTTGAGGGCATGGAGCTATTGGAGCTGTCTTCCTTAGTTTGTCTTTGTTTCCCCTCCTAACTCTATCTCTGTTCTTTATTCTTCCCTCTCCTTCTCTCTCCTCCCCTCTCTTCCCTTCTCCTCTGTCCCTTTCCTCCCCTCTTCTTTATTTTGTGTGTGTGTTGTTGTTACTGGGGTTTGAACTCAGGGTCTCACACTCTTACTTGGCTTTTTTTTGCTGAAAGATGATACACTACCCCACTTGAGCCATCCCTCCACTTCTGGCTTTTTCCTGGTTAAAGGTTGTAGTTAAAAGACTCATGGACCTTTCTGTCTGTGCTGGCTTTGAACTGGAGTTCTAAGATCTCAGCCTCCTAAGTGGCTAGAATTACAGGTATGAGCCATCAGAGCCTAGCAGTTCCTTGGTTTCTTTCTTTCTTTTTTTTTTTTGTCGGTCGTGGGGCTTGAACTCTGGGCCTGGGCACTGTCCCTCAGCTCTTCAGCTCAAGGTGAGTGCTCTACCACTTGAGCTACAGCACCACTTCCGGTTTTCTGGTGGTTTATGGGAGATAGGAGTCTCACAGTCTTTCCTTCCCGGGCTGGCTTTGAACTGTGATCCTCAGATCTCAGCCTCCTGAGTAGCTAGGATTACAGGCGTGAGCCACCAGCGCCCGGCATTCCTTGGTTTCTTATGTGGGCAATTGTTTTCTCTTTTTTCTCCATCTCTCTCTTTCCTTCCTCCCTTTCTTCCTCTCTCTTTCCCTCCCTGCCCTTTCTCCCTCCTTTCCCCTCTTCCTCTTTTCTTCCCTTTCTCTTTGCCTCTGCCTCTGTCTGTCTGTCTCGCCAAACTTTCTAAAGTCATGGTGCTCTTCCAGGTTGCTCAACTCTAGCTCCTCCCTCCTCCTACTGCAAGGTTTTAGTGGTGTCTAGAATGTTCTTTATAGTTGTAATGTCAGTCTCTACTGGCCTCTGGCTCTGAACCCTGGTTTCCTGTAATATGTCTTTCACGTTTAAAGATGCCCTGAGCTTGTACCTTGCCATCTGGAGCAATCGAGTCTTCCTTTGTCCTTGGTGACATTTCCAGAGTGTCCTTTTGCATGATGATGAGGATGTGTTAGTCATCATGAGTTGGAATGATTTCCTAAAATGTGAAATGATGGTAATGAAATGAAAGCATCCCTGAGTAGCTGCCCTTCCACGAGAAGTCAGGACAGCCCAGAGGCCCTGGCCCTGTCGTCATTTTTTGGCTCTCCTGCTCTTCTTCTGGTATTTCAATTATAAAAAAATATAGTCACCTTATAGTATCCTGGACTTTCATATTCATAGATTCAACCAATTGCACATTGGCAAATATGCAAGAAGATTTGTATATCTACTGAATATGTATATACTTTTGTTGTTGTTTTGTTTTAGTGCCAGTCCCAAGCCTTGAACTTAGGATCCAGGTGCTGTCCTGGACTTTTTTGCTCAAGGCTAGCATTCTATCACTTGAGCCACAGCTCCACATCTGGCTCTCTTTTACTGGTTAATTGGAGTAAGAGTCTCCTGGAGTTTCATGCCTGTGCTGGCTTTGAACTGAAGTCCTCAGAGCTCAGCCTCCTGAGTAGCTAGGATGATGGGCATGAGCTACCAGTGCCTGGCTTGGACTTTTTTTCTTTTTTTTTGCTTGTCATCTTTCCCTAAACAATATAATAACTATTTATATAGCATTTTATATCTTATTGGGTATTGTAAGTAATTAGTAATGATAAATGATAATTAGGCATTTTAAGGAACAAGATGATTTAAAGTATACAGGAACACGTGCATAGGTTATATACAAGACACAGTGCTGTTATATATAAGGGATGTGAGAATCTGAAAACATTGGTTTGCACCTGGAGGGGTATCTTGGAATTTATCTTCCAGGGACACCGAACAGTGACTGTCTAGTTCACTCAATAATACTTATTAATAAAATAGAATGAGTGTGAATCAGTGCTAAATGAGATGTACTTGTAGTAAACACTTGACAAATACTTATCGATCTTAATTTGATACATGTTTCTAGAATTTTCTTCTCTCTCTCACATACATATACAGCCTCACAATTAGAAGGCACAAAAATCCCCGTCATTTTTAGGAGAAATGAAGAGAATGGTAACTGTTGAGTTACAGACAGTTAGCTAAGGTTGAAGAATTGTACCTCCTCCCCTCTTACCCTGAGATTTCTTTGTTTTCTTTCCCTCCTCTGCACTGGATATGTTCATCCTTTTGAACTGGAGACTGGTGATGTATGAAGACTACGAGGGCAGAGGCATGGTATGGAAGGGCTCAGCTTGGAGACAGATTCACTGTGTAGATTATTATAAGGGCCTTGCGTAGGAATGCCTTGTTTGAAACCTTGTGTTATGAAAGCAAACGTTGGAATTCTTTTCCCAATGTCGGCTTACTGACATGACATTTCCTCTGTCTCTCTATCTCTCTCCAGAGAAGATTGCCTGTGTCCTCCCCTCCGAATGTGAGAAACACTGTGGTACTAAAGTTGGCTGCACCAACATTGCCTACCCAACCTTGGTGGTGGAACTGATGCCTAATGGTGAGTGTCTCTTGGAAGGCTGGAAGAAGGCTGATTTGATTTAGGCCCCACCTAGAGTCCTCTCTCCCCCTCTCTCTCCTCCCTGTTTGTATCAGTACTGGGGCTTGAACTTTTGCTTAGCTTTTTTTTTGTTGTTGTTCAAGGCTCTACCACTTGAGTCATAGCTTCACTTCTGGCTTTTTGATTCACTGGAGATAAAGAATCTCATAGACTGTCCTGTTGGGCTGGCTTGGATAGCAATCCTTAGATCTCTGCCTCCTGAACAGCCAGGATTACTAGCTTCTAAGCATCAAATGGGCAGCCTGGCATTGGTGGCTTACACTTGTAATCCATCCTACTCAGGAGGATGAGATCTGAGGACCACAGTTTGAAGCCAGCCTGGGCAGGAAAGCCTATGAGACTGATTTCCAATTAAGTACCCAAAAAGCTGGAAGTAGAACTGGAGATAGGAATCTTTTGAGTTTGTCCGCCTGGATTGTCTTCAAACCTTGATCCTCAGATCTCAGCCTCCTGAGTAGCTAGGATTATAGGCATGAAATATCTGCCCCTCACTTGAAGCAAAACCACTTCTAAACAAAGAGTGTTCGTTGGGAGAGCCTTATTCCAGTGGTTTTGAGGTTTTGTCTATGTTGAGTATAGTCAATAGCACTAGACTGTATGTACTTGAAAATGGCTAAGAGACTGAGGTAGGAGGATTTAGAGTTCAAGGCCAGCTTGAGCTAAATAACAAGATACTTTCTAAAAAAAGATAAACATGTGAGGTAACAAATATATGAATTTAGCTCAATTTAGCCATTGTGTACATATTTCAACACATTCTAATAAATATATGGAATTTTAATTTGTCAGTTAATAATAACTAAAGCTCTCCAACAGTAGATAGTAATATAAAGCTTGAACTAAACATCTTATATCCAAGTGAAGCTTACCTCTAGAATGAATTGATTTCCAGGCTCTTCCAAAGAAATACATGGAAAAGCTGGCTTTGGTAGCTCATGCCTATAATCCTAGCTACTCAGGAGGCTGAGATCAAGGCCAGCCTAGACAAAATAAAGTTTGTAAGATTGCATCTCAGTTGATGAAAAGAAAAGCTGGGTGTAATAGTGTATTTAAGAGGAAGTCACATCTCAGGCTGGCTTGGAGGAAAAAGTAAACTCTTATTTGAAATATAACAGAAGCAAGAAGGGATGGGGCTATAGCTCAAGTGGTAAAGCACCTGCCTTGAAAGTGCAAGGCCCAGAGTTCAAACACAGTAACTACCACTATACCACATGCAAACAGACACACACACACACATACACACACACATACACACACAAACACATAAAAATACTATGAGGAAAAGGTACAATTTTCAGTTCTAGAAGAAAGAAGTTTGAAGTTATAGGTGAATAGAATTTCTTACCACAAAGAACATGTTGTCATCAGTGATAGATTTGTTAGGTCTGAATCTGCCATAGCTACAGTTTTGGGGTTGATCTATGGAGGTTACACATCATGTTTCACACTGAAGAAAAACAACTCTTATTTTGGATTTAAAGGCTATAAATCCAGTTAGGTTAAGGAGGTCTCAGACGATAAAAAATTCATAAATATTAACCGTGTATACTTAGAATAATCTTGAAACTATCACTTTAAAGAAATATACAGGCTGTCTGGTCAAGTCTTTTATTTTACAATTGGGGAAACTGAGGCTTATGGGGAGAAAGTGATTTTTCTAAAACCAAGCCATTTGGCTTGCTTCACTTTGCTAAGGCTGGCACTTAGGGATTTGAGGTGAGGGCAAGGGATCCTGTGCGTGTGTGTGTGTGTGTGTGTGTGTGTGTGTGTGTGTGTGTGTGTGTATTAAACTCAGGGCCTGGGCACTGTCCCTGAGATTTTTGCTCCAGGCTAGTGCTCTACCACTTGAACCTCAACACCACTTCTGGCCTTTTGGTGGTTAATTGGAGATAAGAGTCTCACAGACTTTGCTGTCCATGGTTGCCTCCAAACTGGATCCCCTGATCTCAGCCTCTTGAGTAGCTAGGATTACAGGCGTGAGCTGCAGGCCCTGCTGGGATCCTTGTTTTTGTTTTTAAAATCACATGTATAACCTTGAGCAAACCATTTGTATTTAGATGATATAAAAATGTGAGTGATAGTTAACTACTCTACTAGGTTGGGCTGCTCATTAATTAAGGGTGCAATTAGAAAGAGTCACAATGACTTTCTGAGAGGTATGGCTTAGGTCATACCTCTGGTCTCTGTAGGGGTGCTTATGCTATGCCTTGCAATTCGCTCCCCATATGGTGCAGGGGGTAGATCTGTGTACCCCAGAAAGATGTAAGGTGCAGAACACCAGGAAGCTACATTACCATTATCATCCTCTCAGAACCTTTGGCTATGAGAGCTGGCGTTTATTTCTATTTTTGGTTCAGGTCCTGGTGTTTAAACTCATGGCCTGGCTCTGTCCCTGAGCTCTTTTTTTGTTTTTCTCTCAAGACTGGTACTTTATTACTTGAGCTGCAGCTCCACTTCCAGATTTTTGGTGGTTAATTACAGATAAGTATCTCATGGACTTTCCTGCCTGGCATTGAACTATTATCGCAGCCTCCTGAGTAGCTAAGATTACAGGTATGAACCACCAGCACCTGGCAATACCTATTTTTATAAAAATGAATAAATAAACTAGATAGGTGTGGTGGCTCATGGCTATAATCCTAGCTACTCAGGAAATGGAGATCAACAGGATCATAGTTCCTGGCCATCCTGAACACAAAGTTTTTGAGACCACCATGACACATGTATGTTGTACTAGCTACATGGGAAGTATAAACAGGGGACCATGATTCTGGTTAGCCTGGATAGAATGTGAGGATCTATCTCAAAAATAGCCAGAGAAGTTGTGTGTGTTGACTCAGGCCTATAATCCTAGCTAACTTGGGAGGCTCAGCAACAGAATTCCTGCCTAGCAAGCATGAAGACCTGAGTTCAAAACTCAGTATTATATTTTTTTTCATCACTAGTATGGAAACCAAGTTCAGGAAAATGCTTTAGCACTAAATTGTATTTTCAATCTCTCCTAAGTATCTTTTTTCTTTTTGGGGTACTGAGAATTAAACCTAGATCCTTGAACATTTTAGGCAAATGTGATACCAGTTGAGCCCTATCCCCCATCCTCTTGCTTTGACATTTATTTATTTTCAGATAGGGCTTCCTAATAACATTGCATAGTCTGGCCTGTAGCCATAATCCTTTCCCTCTGTTTCCTGAGTGGCAAGGATTACAGGTGTGTGCCACCACATCGGACACTAAGTATCTCTTGTACCCATCTTCCTTTCTCTGATATCTTAATTTAATTAATTAATGTTTTACCAGTCCTAGGGCTTGAACTCAAGGCCTGAGCACTGTCCCTGAGCTTATTTTTTGTTCAATTGCTTGAGCCACAATTCCACTTCTGCTTTTTTTTTGTTGTTGGTTGTGGGGCTTGAACTCTGGGCCTGGGCACTGTCCCTCAGCTCTTCAGCTCAAAGCAAGCACTCTACCACTTGAGCCTCAGTGTCACTTCCAGTTTTCTGGTGGTTTATTGGAGAGAAGGGTCTCACAGACTTTTCCTGCCTGGGCTAGCTTTGAACCGTGATCCTCAGATCTCTTGAGTAGCTAAGATTACAGGCGTGAGCCACTGATACCTGGCATCTCTTCTCTGTTTTAAACTTTTTTTTTTAAACCCTAGTCTGATATATTATTTCTTGCCTGGGTTGCTATAAAATTATATTCAACAAATGTTTGTTGATAAATAAATGAAAGCATGTGGAAAAGGGAGGAGACTTACATACCAGCTTAGCAATTCACAAGGACCTGGTAGAGCTTGTGCTGAAGATCTTACCTATTAACTCCTTGAAATGTACCTTTGTTTTGTCAACTGAAAAGTGAGAGCATTGGACTAGATGATCTTTATGACTCCCTCTATAGCTCCAACCATCTGTGGTTTACATTATTTGCAAACACTTCCCAGCAGATGACAAAGATAATCAGAAGAGGAGGCCTTTATAATTTATCTCATAAAGCTTTAGATGAAACCATAAAATTATTTACAGATATAAAATCTAAAGAAAGACAGAATCATACCACCACCGCGATCAACTCTGGAAAAATTTTCATCATCCCATAAAGAATCTTGTACCTGAAATCTTGTACCTGAGGTTAGGCTGTGGTGGTTCACATCTGTAATCCTAGCTACTTGAGAGGCAGAGATGAGGGTGAAGGTGGGGAGGATTAAGATTTGAGGCTAACCCAGGCACTCTCCCACCTCAAAAAATAGCAAGACTCCATTTTAACAAATAAACCCAGGATAACCCCTATAATAATAATCCCAGCTACATAGATGGTATGGTTATCAGGATTGAAGTCTGAGGCCAGATCAGACAAAAAAACCATGAGACATTATCTGAAAAAGAAAAAGAAAAAGAGCTGAGGGTAGCAAATACAAGGCCCTGAGTTCAAATCTTAGAACAAAATATAAAAAAGAAGAACTCCTATGCAGTGACTAATAATGCATTCTCTATAGATTTGCCTGTGCTGCACACTGGCAGAGAAAACCAATCCTGCCTATAATCATGGTAACAATATGTGGTTCTTTATGATTGGCTTCTTCACTTCATATTGTTTTCAAGGTTCATTCATGTTGTAGCATTGATTTGCACGCCATCCCTTTTTATGAATGCATGAACAGTGATGATTCCATTCCATTTTATGACCATCCATATGGAAAGCTATTCATTCATAAAAAGATCTCCAATTGATAAACAACTGTTGCCCAGTGTATATTTCTTCTTTATGTTATGTTTATTTCTTCTTTTTTGGATAGCATAAAAATCTAACTATCTAGTTTAAAATAGTAGTTACTATGGCATTGATCTGATGTCTCTTGATGCAAAGTTTTTTTTCTTTCATATTATTGGCCATTTATTTTTATTTTATTTTATTATTTATTTATTTTTTGGGTCTGGTCATGGGGCCTGAACTCTTGGCCTGGACTCTGTCCCTCAGCTCTTCAGCTCAAGGCTAGCGCTCTACCAATTGAGCCACAGTGCCACTTCCAGCTTTTTTTCTTTTTGCTTATGTGGTGCTGAGAAATTGAACCCAGGGCCTCACGCATGCAAGGCAAGCACTCTACCACTGAGCCACCTTCCCAGCCCTTTATTTATTATTATTATTATTTTTATTGTGAAAATACTGTACAGAGGGGTTACAATTACATGGGCAAGATAATGAGTACATTTCTTTCATATATATATATATATATATATATATATATATATATATATTTATTTATTTATTTCCAGTCGTGGGGCCTGAACTCTGAGCTTGGGTGCTGTCCCTCAGCTCTTCAGCTCAAGGCTAGCGCTCTACCACTTGAGCCACAGTGCCACTTCCGGTTTTTTTTCTTTTTGCTTATGTGGTGCTGAGGAATCGAACCCAGGGCCTCATGCATGCAAGGCAAGCACTCTACCACTGAGCCACCTTCCCAGCCCCAATGAGTACATTTCTTATCAAGCATTGTAGCTTCCTCCTTTGTTTCCCCTTCCCATCCCTTCCCATCCTTCCCCACCCCCCCATCCAATCTTCCCCGCCCCACCCCCCTGCACCAAAGTTGTAAAGTTCATTTTGGACGTAACGACTTGTACATCTCATTGTTGCAATGGGATTATTGGCCATTTATATACCTTTGGTGAAGTATCCATTTGGGTCTTGTGCCACTTCAAATGAGTTATTTGTTTTTCTTTTGAGTTGTAGGTGTTCTTTATATGATATGTGAATAAGACATATATCAAGAATCAGCCAGTTATATGAGTTGCATATTTTCTCCAGTTCTATGACTACTTTTTTGAACTTTATTGAGAACTTTCTCTTTGTAATCCCAGTCTTTCAGCTAGATATAAATCTTTTAGGTGAGAGCCTTGAGAGTCTTTTCAACCTGGAAAAAATTAGGTCAAGTAAGTAAGTCAGGCTCAGAGAGCAAAGGGTACATGTTTTCTCTCATCAGTGCAAGTTAGATCTAAATTATAAACATCTAGGAAAACATGTACAGAGTCATATGAATATATGCACGGCCATGTTAACTGAAGTGTGGTATATGCAGGGAAGGATTCAAGTAGTGAAGCTTCTTTGAACAAAATTTAACAAAGTGAATACCAAGTTCCAACTGTATCAAGTAGGCGTTGGGGAGAGGAAGTCAAGGGGATGGGGTAGGGGTCAGACAAATGGAGAGAGGAAAGGTTTTCAAAATGCAGTCATAGTATTCAATGTACATATGTGAAAATGGAACGAGGTAAATTGGGGGGAATGGGTGGGACTGGGTAGGAGGAAAATGAATGTGAATTGGTGAAGATGCTTTGTGCTCACAAACTGAATTGAAACCCCTTTGTGCAACTACTTAAAGATAATAAAAAGTCTCTTCAAACAGACACACATCACCATCACTATCATAATCATCATTAGTATTCAATTACAAAAGAATCATCTTTTGTCTCTAGCTCTTTTTTAGCCTGTATTTTATAATATAAATACTTTCTTATGAAGTATTTATAGTACACATAGCAGGATTTTGGAAGGCAAACAAAACTTGAGTCCTCCTTTTTGGAAGTTAGATCTAAAATGCACTGGGATATGACAAATTACATAGGATTCTTGACACACACAGTGAGGCCAAAAGAGGACACTCTCAGGAAAGAAACACAAAGGTGCAATGCCTAAGCACCTCTTCATAGTTATATGAAATAATACACACACTGAAATGAACTCCAAGATATGGAAACAAAAGACTACTTATTTTGTCACTTTTTGATGATTCTCTCTTCTTTATCTCATGCATGTTGTATTCATGTGTACATCTTCAGAAGGGTTTGGAGGAGGGCACAGAACTGGAGGGAAAAAGGGCGAAAAAGCGTAGCAGTGGAGCTCTCTGGACACTGATGGATATGAACTATGCAACTCGTGAGTGGAGATGGGAGGGAGGGGCTGGGAAAGAAGGAGGGAATAGATGACAGTGTAAGATAGGAAATGGACTCATTACCTGACTGGTGCAATTGTAATCCTTCTGTACATCATCGCTCTAAAACCAATAAAGTAAATTAATTAAAAAAAAAAAAAGCCGAGGATCTAGAGGCACCGCTGAGAACCTACTTCTTTTCCAGGGCTGCGAGGGCTGATGCTGTCCGTCATGATGGCCTCTCTCATGAGTTCCCTGACCTCCATCTTCAACAGCGCCAGCACCCTCTTCACCATGGACATCTACACCAAGATCCGGAAGAAAGCAACCGAGAAAGAGCTCATGATTGCGGGAAGGTAAGCGCACCTTCTTCTTGCCATGAACCATCAGATATGTCATAAGAGCTTGTTAGATTATCTCCAGGAATTATTAGGACCTGAAGTAAAACTCAGACGTAGTTCACTTAGAAATTCTCCTTGAGGACCAAGAATGAGAAGACAATAATAGTTGTTTTTTTTTTTTTCTGTTGTTGTTGTTGGTCGTGGGCCTTGAACTGTGGGCCTGGGTGCTGTCCCTTAGCTCCTCAGCTCAAGGCTAGAGCTCAGCTTCTCAATTTTCTAAGATAGGGTCTTGTGACATTGCTCAGGTTGGCTTCAAACTCACAATCCTTCTACCTCAGCCTCCTAAGCACTGGGATGACAGAAGTATACCACTGGTGTTGTGGTTTTTGTCATTGTTGTTGTTGATAGTCTATTGTGCTGTTTTGATTTCAGGTTGTTCATCCTCTTGCTGATTGCCATCAGCATTGCCTGGGTTCCGATCGTGCAGTCAGCTCAAAGTGGACAGCTCTTTGACTATATCCAGTCCATCACCAGTTACTTGGGACCCCCCATTGCGGCTGTCTTCCTGCTTGCTATTTTCTGCAAGAGAGTCAACGAGCCAGTAGGTACCATTCTCATATGCCCAGAAAGGTCAGTCTACCACAGAAATTCCTCTGGAGGTTTGCATACTCTCTGGGGGAGGATTCTCTCTCCTAGAGACCTTTTTTTATTCTTTTTTTTTGGTGCCAGCATTGAGGCTAACCCTTAGCTTTCTGCAGAAGGCTGGTATTCTACCACTTGAACCACAGCTCCATTTCTGGTTTATTGTTGGTTAATGGAAGGTAAGAGTCTGATGAACTTTCCTGTCTTGGTTGGCTTTGAATATTGATCCTCAGATCTCAGCCTCCTGAGTAGCTAGGATTACAGATGTGAGCCACTGGCACTTGGCTTTCCTAGCTATCATAAGCACACATAAATGTGTGTCTAAAACTTTGCAGGAGAAATCATTGAAGAACCGTGGGAGTGCTCCAAGTTGGAGTGCATTTATTTTCTCTCTGATGCTCCTGTTGTATTAGCTATTATACATTTTCTATCCAGTTTTAGTGATTCTGGCCTGAGTCCAAACTTCCTGATGGCTCAGAGGTGAACTTGGCTTTGCTAGCCAGCACTTCTCCAGGTCTAGTGAAGGACACAGTCCTTGTGCTTGAGCACTTTATCTGGGAAAGTACAAAATGTACGGAGGAAGGGCCGTATGTCCAAACTGGCAGGGGAAGCTTCTGAGAGGCCAAAGACTGAAGAGAGATTTAAAGTTGGAACACAGAGAGAGAATTCAAGGCAGAGAGAACAGCCTAGCCCAAATGTGGAAATGGAGGAATAACAGTAAGGTGAGGGGCTTGTAAGGAATAATGCTACCTGGCTTGAGAGGGAGTTGATGTGCATGAATAAGGAAGGACATATCTGGAAAGGCAGGTCAAGGTTAAAGGAAAGCCAGGTTGGAGCATTTGGGTAAAAAAAGAGCACAGGTTTTTGTTTTTGTTTCCTTCAAATGTAAAAGTTAGATCTAAATTTTACAGATATAGGAACACATATATAGGGCCATATACATATATACACAAACAAATCGACTAAAGTATGGTTTACAGGGAAGGATTGCAAGGATGTAACTCCTATAACACACAATGTGTGTTGTGTATGTTGGGGGGGGGGGTGGGTCTAGAAGGAAGGCAGACAAATGGAGAGAGGAAGAATAAGTGAATACAGTCATAATATTCATGATAACTTTTTTTCCCTGTTGGTTGTGGGGCTTGAACTCAGGGCCTGGGCACTGTCCCTGGGCCTCTTTGTGCTCAAGGCTAGCACTCTACCACTTGAGCCACGGTACCACTTCCAGTCATAATATTCAATATAGATATATGAAATGGAACCAGGGAACTTGAGGGGAGGGGAGGGAGGGGCTGGAGAGATGGGGGAGAATGATCAAAGGGCCACATTGATCAAGATGCTTTGTGTTCATACACAGACATGTTGGATTGAAGCCCTGTGTATGACGACTTGAGGATAATAAAACTTAAAAAAAGAAGAATTTGGGTCAACAGCAGGGTGTAGTTGCATGTTTCCAAAAGGGATAATTAGTAACATCCGGTAACACATTTGTTATATTTCTGATAATGCTATAAATGTCTAATGGGTAGGGGATGGGGCTGTACTGAGCATCCTAAAGTGCAAAGGATGACACTCCCAAAGAATTAGCCAGTCCAAATATAATGCTATGTAGGGGAACTCTGGGCTCCATTCTCCAGAGTACAGCAAGTAGAGATTGCAGGGAGAATCTTGGGACAGGTCAGGCACTGACCGAGTCTTAGGGAAAATGTCAAAGGCTTTCAGGTTTCTCTAGACCCTCTTCAGGATAAAGACTAAAGGAATAAAAAAAGGTTAATTTCCAAAACAGAAAGGATCCAGGTGCCAGTGGCTCATGCCTGTAATCCTAGCTACTTAGGAAGCTAAGATCTGAGGGTTGCAGTTCAAAGCCAGCCTGGGCAGGAAAGTCTCTGATACTCTTATCTCCACTAAAACCACACACACACACACACACATACACATACACATACACACACATATGTGCATGCACACATGCACATATACCCCTTCCTCCAAGCCTGAAGTGGAGCTGTGGCTCAACGGGTAGAGTGTTAGCCCTGAGGTAAAGAAGCTCAGGGACAGTGTGCAGGCCGAGTTCAAAGCCCAGGATCAGCACAAAAACAAACAAACAAATAAGAGAAAAAAAGAAAAAAGCCAGCAATGGTGGCTCTGGTTAGTAATCTTAGCTGCTTAGGAGACTGAGATCTAAAGATGGCAGTTAGTGGTTCAAAGCCAGCCCAGGCAGGAAAGTCTGTGAGACTCTTAACTCCAATTAACCACCAGAAAACTGGAAATGGAGCTGTGGCTCAAATAGTAGAGTGCTAGCCTTGAGCAGAAAAGCTCATGGGGGCTGGGAATGTGGCTTAGTGGTAGAGTGCTTGCCTAGCACGCATGAAACCCTGGGTTTGATTCTTCAGTACCACATCAACAGAAAAAGCCGGAAGTGGTGTTGTGGCTCAAGTGGTAGAGTGCTAGCATTGAGCAAAAGAAGCTCAGAGACAGTGCCCAGCCCCAGAGTCCAAGCCCCAGGACTGGCAAAAAAAGAGAAAAGCTCATGGTCAGCACCCAGGCTCTGAGTTCAAGGCCCACAATGGATTAAAAAAAGGAAATCCTTAACAAAGTTTATTGATACTATTCAAATCAAGTGAAATCAAGGTTTTATTGGAAGGAAATAACTATACAGGGTTGAATTCAAGAAGTTCTATTTTGCCGGGCGCTGGTGGCTCACGCCTGTAATCCTAGCTACTCAGGAGGCTGAGATCTGAGGATCGCAGTTCAAAGCCAGCCCGGGCAGGAGAGACTGTGAGACTCCTATCTCCAATAAAAACCACCAGAAAACCGGAAGTGGCGCTGTAGCTCAAGTGGTAGAGCGCTCGCCTTGAGCTGAAGAGCTGAGGGACAGCGCCCAGGCCCAGAGTTCAAGCCCCACGACCAACAAAAAAAAAAAAAAAAAAGAAGTTCTATTTTTCCTTATTACTTCAAAATGTTAGATTCTATTTGTGTGTGTGTATCAGTTTGTGTATGTGCTGAGAGTAGGGTTTGAACTCAAGGCCTCTTGTTCTCAATGACATTTTGACTCTGCCATTTTGATTTCAGAATGGCCTGGAGCCTATTCCCCTCTTGTAATTCATTCCTTTGCCGCTGTCCTAAGGAATGTTAGAATGCCCAGCTGTTTGTGGATTGGGCATTAGTTCACGCAAGTGTTTCATTCACAGGGAGCCTTTTGGGGACTGATGCTTGGATTTCTGATTGGGATCTCCCGGATGATAACTGAGTTTGCCTATGGAACTGGGAGCTGCATGGAACCCAGCAACTGCCCCACGATTATCTGTGGGGTACACTACTTGTACTTTGCCATTCTCCTCTTTGTAATCTGCATCATCACTGTCTTGGTCATCTCCTTCCTCACCAAGCCCATTCCAGATGTGCATGTGAGTATCCACGTTGGAGACTTTTCCTGCTCATCTCTCACGTTCAGGTTATGACACAGCTGGCTGGCTTTGGCTCCATGAGACAATCACACAGTTACATGTTCAATGAGGTGTCTTCTTGTCATTTGTTTCACATAAATGAGTGCAGGGCAGGAAACAGGGCATGCCAACCAGGCAGCATTAGGCATGTGGAAGTCTTCACAATCCAGGGCTCTATCAAGGGGCTAGTCTTTGGATCCAGCCCAAGCACACTAGAAATGAGATCTCATTAGTGGACAAACTCCTCTGGTTGTGTGTGTGTGTGTGTGTGTGTGTGTGTGTAGTACTGGGGTTTGAACTTGGGGACTTGAGCTTGTTAAGCAAGCACTCTACCACATGCGCTACACAGCAGTGTTTCTTGTGAATGTGCCATTGTCAAAGTTTCCACAGATCCTAGAAAGGGACCATGTTGTCAGGAACTGGTACCATACACCTGTAATCCTAGCTACTCAGGAGGCTGAGATATGAGGATTGTGGTTCAAAGCTAGCCCAGAGCCGGGCGCTGGTGGTTCACGTCTGTAATCCTAGCTACTCAGGAGGCTGAGATCTGAGGATCGTGGTTCAAAGCCAGCCCGGGCAGGAGAGACTGTGAGACTCCTATCTCCAATAAACCACCAGAAAACCGGAAGTGGCACTGTAGCTCAAGTGGTAGAGCGCTCGCCTTGAGCTGAAGAGCTGAGGGACAGTGCCCAAGCCCAGAGTTCAAGCCCCACGACCGACAAAAAAAAAAAACAAAAAACAAAGCTAGCCCAGGCAGGAAAGTCCATGAGACTTTTGCCTTCAATTAACTATCAAAAAAGCTGGAAGTAGACCTGTGGCTCTTGTGGTAGAGCGAAAAACACCCCAAACCCCAAAACCGTTCCAAAAGCTCAGGGACAGTGCCCAGGCTCTGAGTTCAAGCCCCAGGACTGGTGTGTGTGTGTGTGTGCGTGTGTGTGTGTGTGTGTGCGCGTGCACCCATGTGCTCACACACACACACACACACACACACACACACACACACACACACAAGATAGAGACTATGTCTACAACACTACTATTCGCAGGGAAATCTGAAGTATGAAAACTTCCTGCTCTTTCTCTTCCTCCTCTTTCTTCTTCTCTTCCTCCTCCCTCTCCTCCACCTCCTCCCTCTCCCCTATCCTCCTCAGCTTCCTTCTTCTTTTTTTTTTTGGGTCCGGTCGTGGGGCCTGAACTCTGGGCCTGAGCGCTGTCCCTCAGCTCTTCAGCTGAAGGCTAGCACTCTACCACTTGAGCCAGAGCACCACTTCTGGCTTTTTTATTTTTGTTTATGTGGTGCTGAGGAATCGAACCCAGGGCCTCAGGCATACAAGGCAAGTGCTCTACCACTGAGCCACCTTCCCAGCCCCATATTTATTCTTAAGAAGAGGAAAAGTTTTAGTTAGTACTTTTTGCATGCGTATACAATATTGCAAGGCCTATGAAACTCCTGAGATCTTTAACTTTAAGATTTGTGACAAAGTTTGTCAAACAAACACTGCTTTTATAGTTGTAGAATTACAGTTCTTGGCAGTGATGTTTCTTGGCGGTGTGTGTCCTTTGTGTGTGTGTATGTGTGCCAATACTGGAGCTTGAACTCAGGATCTCACACTCTCTCTTGTCATTTTTGCTCAGGGCTGCCACTCTTTGAGCCACCCTCCCACCGCTGGCTTTTTGCTGGTTAATTGGAGATAAATGTCTCACAGACTTTCCTGCCCAAGCTGGCTTTGAACCATGATTCCCAGATCTGTTCCCTGAGTAACTCTGACTACAGTGCCTGCCTCTCCTTTTCTTGATGCATTATCTCTTTGTTTTCCTAACTTCTTATCTTAAGACTTTGTTTGGATCTTTCTAGAAAACTGTTGTGCTTTCTCCACAGCTCTATCGTCTGTGCTGGAGCCTGCGCAACAGCAAAGAGGAGCGTATTGACCTGGATGCAACAGAGGAGGAGGATATCCAGGATCCCCCAAAGGAGACCATTGAAATAGGTGACTTTTTCCAAGCCATAATAAGTTACTTGAACCACAGCAAACCTTCACTCAATGCCTTCATCAAAGCTCAGTGAAGGGCAGGGTGGGAAATGCGATGAACAAAAGGGTATGGTGAGGTTCACTCTCAGGGCCTGACTACGTTCCATGAATCAGTGAGTGGACAGGAAGTTGCCACTTTGCCTAGATCTGGGGCAGAGCCAGGGATAGGGGAACAGTCAGAGCTCTTAGGACATAGGCAATAAAGGAATAAATGATGCTTAGTTAGTGATATTTCTTTTGTGGTGCTCACGATTGATTTTAGGGCCTAGCACATGCAATCACTGGGCTACACTTTCAGCTCAGTGCTTATTTTAGAAATTACTGCTTTTGGGCTGGGAAGGTGGCTCAGTGGTAGAGCGCTTGCCTTGCATGCATGAGTCCCTGGGTTCAATTCCTCAGCACCACATAAGCAAAAAGAAAAAAGCCAGAAGTGGCGCTGTGGCTCAAGTGGTAGAGCGCTAGCCTTGAGCTGAAGAGCTGAGGGACAGTGCCCAGGCCCAGAGTTCAGGCCCCATGACCGGACCCAAAAAAAAAAAAAAAAAAAGAAATTATTGCTTTCATTGCTGAGTACTAGTGGCTCACACCTGTAATCCAAGCTATTCAAGAGGCTGAGATCTGAGGATCACACTTTAAACCAGCCTGGGCAGGAAAGTCTGTGAGATGCTTATCTCTAATTAGGGACACACACACACACACACACACACACACACAGAACTAGAAGTGGAGCTATGACTCAAGTGGTAGAGCTATGACTCAAGTGGTAGAGCATTAGCTTGGAGCACAGAAGCTCAGAGATAAGCACCCAGGCCCTGAGTTCAGGCTCCAGGACTGGTACACGTGTGTGTGTGTGTGTGTGTGTGTGTGTGTGTGTGTGCGCGCGCATGCATGCGAGTGCGCACATGCACACAGACACACATACACGGAATTAAAGCTTTCTTTAGTGTTGCAACTTTTCTTTCCTACATGGGTGAGGGGCACATATGGAGGATGGATGGCTGGAGCATGAAGAAATCTGGGAGCACAAGTTCGTGTGCTTTACCTGGTATGGGGATAAAGGGCTTGCCATTCATTCTTGAGGCAGAATAAGTTCTGAATGTGGCCATCAGGCATGTCATCCATTCCCAGTCCCAGAGTCACTAAATCCTAGGGATCATTTGATCTTACCACCCCACTTTACAAATACATAAATTGAGTGGGAGACCTTGTGGATGGCCTCAGCTCTGAAACAATCGTCTCTTGATTGCTAAGAACTTGTCAGTTCCAAGACTTGGAAACAGTACTGGAGGGAATGTTAAGAGCCACAGGCAGCTGACCATGGTGCTTAACAGCCCCTACTTGCTTTTCTAGAGCAGCAGGTATGTGAATCTATATGTCCGATTCTTTTAACTTCAAATGAATCTTCAGGGAACCAGTAACTTATGCCTGTAATCCTAACTACTCAGGAGGTTGAGATCTGAGAATCACAGTTTAAAGCAAGCCTGGGCAGGAAAGTCTATGAGACTTGGATCTTCAATAAACTGCTAAAAAAGCTTGAGTTGTGGCTCAGGTGTTAGAGCACTAGCCTTGAGCAAAAGAAGCTCAGGGGCAGTGCCCAGACCTCGAGTTCGAACTCCACACACACACACACACACACACACACACACACACACACCAACGCACAAACACGCACACACACATATCCTTCTGTGAGTGAAAGTATCACAGAGGAATATTTTGAGAGTTGATAGCTATTAATCTAGAAGTAAAGTGTGTGTGTGTTTTTAACATGAAGGGATATACTAAACCTTTATAGATCAAAAGAACCCATACATTATTTTTATGGTACCTGGCATTGAACCCAGGGCTTCATGGATGCTAGGCAAGCATCCTATTACTGAGCTATATTGGTACCAGAGTGTTGAACACATCCAATGTAACATAGTACAGAGCTAGAGTAGTTTAGAGGTAGAACTGTGGAGTTTGTAGAACTGTGGAATTAGGTAGTACTGGAATTCAATCCCAACTTTTCTTCTTACAACTCTGGACAAATGAATCCATTTTTTTTCCTCTAAAGCACAGATTCTTTTTTTTTTTTGGTTGGTCATGGGGCTTGAACTCTGGGCTTGGGCAGATTCTTTTTTTTTTTTTTTTTTTGGGTCGGGTCGTGGGGCCTGAACTCTGGGCCTGGGCACTGTCCCTCAGCTCTTTAGCTCAAGGCTAGCATTCTACCACTTGAGCCACAGCACCACTTCCGGCTTTTTTCTTTTTGCTTATGTGGTGCTGAGGAATCGAATCCAAGGCCTCATGCATGCAAGGCAAGCACTGTACCACTGAGCTACTAGATTCTTCTCAGCCTACAGATTTTTTTTTTAAACTGATAATTATTTATTATTTGTAGCAGAAGTTTACATAAAACTTGGACATATAAAGTGTCTAATGGCTCTGGCAGTATATATTGGTATTCCTTGTTTTTTTTTCTAGGTGAACTAGAGCTATATCCAACTCTCTGTTTAGAGGAAGCAATGCTTTCCAAAATTTATTTTTTTGTTTCTTTTTTTTTTAAATAAGTTTTTTATTGTGAAAATACGGTACAGAGGGGTTACAGTTACATGAGCAAGGTAATGAGTACATTTCTTATCAAGCATTGTTGCCTCCTCCTCTGTTTTTCCTTAATATTCCTTCCCTCCCATCTCCTCAACTACCTTCCCCCTCTACCCCTCCCTCCCGCCTAAACTGTAAAGTTCGTTTTTTCGACATAGCGTCATTGTTGTAATGGGTCAATCTGTATCCCTGTTTAAACATTTTGGTTTTTCCCTTCCCCTTTCCAAATTATACCAACATCAAATACAGTGAAAACAGGGGTTATACCATGGGGGAGGGACATACAAAGCAACAAAAATCACATGGTACCTTATAAATACGTTAGAAGCAATAGCAAGCAAGAAAAAACCATTTGTGTTCTTGGTGTTCATTTCGTAAAGCACCGATTCTTGATGAAAGAGTATTCTAAATGAGAATGCACCTCTTATAGCACTGCTGGAAACATTGGCCATATTGTCATGGTCATGATTGATTTCAAGGTAGAGTTTTTAAAATGAACTGTCCTGGACAGGGACAAGGGATAGGTGGGTACATTATCAAGGATGGAGAATCAGCTTGGTGACCTCCAAAGTTCATGGTAACATTTAAATTCTAATTTTTGTGAAATGAATTGATGGTGAATCAAACTGATACCCTATTCTAGTAAGGGATAATAAATATTTTTCTCCAGGGGCCATGCGTGTTACCATTACTATTCTCTGAGAAATAAAAGCATGAAGAAGACTACACCAGGAAAGCTACATCAGCATCCTTCTCATTCTCCCTAATCAAATCAAATTGACCATATTTTATTTATAAATACATTTCTCTAGTTTATCTATCATTTTTGTACCATACCATCCTTTCGTTCTTTCTCTCCCTCCCTCCCTACCTCCCTCCTTCCCTCCCTCCTTCCCTCCCTCCCTTCCTTTTGTAAGTACTAGAGCTTGACCTCAGGGCCTAGGTATGGTCCCTGAACTTCTTTTGCTCAGGCTAGTACTTTGCCTCTTTGAGCTACAACTCTACTTCTGGCTTTTTGGTGGTTAATTGGAGATAAGAGTCTCACGGACTTTCCTGCTGGTCTGGCTTTGAACCTTAGTCATCAAATCTCAGCCTCCTGAGTAGCTAGGATTACAGGCATGAGTCACCAGTGTTCTTTCTTCCTTTCCCTCCCTCCCTCCCTCTCCCACTCTCCCCCTCTCTCTTATCAATTATTATTTGATCTGTTCTGTAGAACACATTAGTCCTGATAGAGATAAATCTCGGCTAGGGGAGAACAGTGGAAGGGGCGACATTGATTAAGATGTATTGTACAAATAAATAGATATGTTGAAACGAAACCCCTTTGTACAACTACTTAAAATATTAATTAACTATAATTTCTCTTTACAGTATCTTTACAATAAAATATATATTAAAATATTAATTAAAAAACTTGCTAGGTATTGGTGGCTCATGCCTATAATCTTAGCTACTCACAAGGCTGTGATTCAAAGCCAGTCCAGATCCAGAATTCCATGAGACTTTTATCTCCAATTACCCACCCCAAAAAAGGCAGAAGTAGAGCTGTGGTTCAAATGTTAGCCTTGAGCATATAAGCAGCACCCAGGACCTGAGTTCAAGCCCTAGAACTGGCACAAAACCCCCCACAAACCAAAATTAAAAAACTAAAATCTTAAAAAAAAACAAACCAGTCTCAGACTTGCTGATCACAAGGCTGCAGGGTTCATCTAATGACATTGTCTTGTCCTGAAGTTCATTTGACTATGGCATATATTCACCTGAATATTTGAAAGTATTTCAATTGGGAAAATTCTGCTGAAGGGCAGCTGCCCCATGGTGTGTCACGATAGGCCTGAAGCTTTTTTGTTTCTGGTCATTTTGGTTTTGTGTCTAATAATCCCCTTTTCCTGCCTCTCTCGGAACACAGATGTTCCCCAGGAAAGAAAAGGCTGCTTCCGGCGAGCCTATGACCTGTTTTGTGGGCTGGACCAGGACAAAGGACCCAAGATGACAAAGGAAGAGGAGGCTGCCATGAAGCTGAAGATGACAGACACCTCTGAGAAGCCACTGTGGAGGACGGTAGTGAACATCAATGGCATCATCCTGCTGGCCGTGGCCGTCTTTTGCCACGCCTACTTCGCCTGATTCTCCTTCTGCTGTAGGTTCCCCAGAAGCTGGGCTCTTCGCTTGACCTCCCTTTACTCCCTTTCTGTGGTTTTGAAGGGAAATCAGTCCATTGTAAATTTTTTCCTGGTTGGAGAACCATGTACATGTGTAATTATAGGTTAGCTGGAAGAAAAAAATCATTGTTTTTTTCCCCCCTGTTAACTTATGTATTTGTAATGAATGTGATACAGTGATTTGTATATGTAGATGCTAGAGCTGCAGAAGAAAACATGAACTCAGGTCAGTCCAGAAAAGAGCCAGACTCAAAAACAGAAGTGATGCCCAATCTCAGTTGGTCTCAAAGACTAAGTTTGTCAGCCCTGTGTGTAAGCCTTAAATAATGGTTTTTAGAATTTTGGTCTCCTTTGTTTCTACCACTTTCCGTATCTGATTTCTAATTTCTGATTTCTCTTCTCTCATTCCAACTTCTTCCATTCCTTTCTCTCTCCCTCTCTTTCTTTCTTTCTCTCTCTTTCTTTCTCTTCCTTCCTTCCTTCCTTTTTCTTTCTTTCTTTCTTTCTCTCGCTCTCTCTTTCCTTCCTTTCTTCCTCCCTTCCCTTCTCTTCGCTTCCCCCCTTCTCTGCCTTTTTCCCCATTGTCACATCCTTTCCAAGTTATTTTCCTTCAGAACAAGAAAAGTCAATTTGATAAATTCATGAATGGGTGCATGCTGAAGATGGGGGCTTGTCTAGGGATTCCATCTTGGAAGCAGGGGGCGTCTGGAAGGAATTATTTAGCCCAAAGTCCTAGTCTCAGGTTCTTATGTCAAACCAGTGGAAGAAGCCCATAATCTTGAGTGCAGGGAATATTCTGCTCTTCTTAAAAACTGCCTATTATGTGTTAGCCTTGTTTAAAAATTAATTCATTTTTGTCATTTGCTGTGCCTGGAATACCTTTGTCACTCAGGGAAGTTTGTTGCCTAAATGACTAATAAAGGAATTATTTATAGATACTTGCCTTGTCCTTTGTTGACTTTTTTTAAGTGGTGGCCAAAGAAAGCATAGCCTATGGTGGCTGTAGTGAGTGGGAATACATTTCCAGTGGCAACTCTGCCTCCTGTGTGATATTAATGTTAACATCTGCACTTTGAAGTGGACACCATGTCACGTGACAGAGTAAACGAACCTGCTGATGCATGGAACTAATTGGCCTGAGGTCCTCCTTCACAGCTGTTCAAGAGGCTTTGTTTTTAAAATTGGTAACCATCATTGACAAAGCCTAATCTCTTCTTTTTGGGTGTCTTTTAGCCAAAAAAGAGTATTTAAAAAAAATCAGTCCTGGGTGCTATCCCTGAGCTTTTATGCTCAAGGCTAGCACTCTACAACTTTGAGCCACAGTACCATTTCCAGTTTTTTAAGAGTTAGTTGGAGGTAAGAGTCTTATGGATTGTCTTGCCCTGGCTAGCTTTGAACTTCTGTCCTCAGATCTCATCCATCTGAATAGCTAGGATTACAAGCATGAGCCAACAGTCCCAGCTAGGAGTACATGTTTTGTTGCACCAATTTTATAAGAAGAAATCCTTCTTTTTTCAATTTAATTTTAATTAAGTAAAACTTCCACCTGTGAAATCTTAATGATCTTGTAACATGATCCCACTGATGTGAGAAAAAATCAAGATGTTCAGTGTTATTAATTTCAGGTTAGCTTAGAAAAGAGCTTGAGAGGGAATCCTGGATATAGAGATGGCTCAGCAGGAAGAGAAATGCTTTCTTTTTTTCATTGGTTGTGGGGCTTGAACTCAGGGCCCAGGCACTGTCCCTAAGCTTATTTGCTCAAGGGGAATGCTTTACCATTTTGAGCCATAGTACCACTTCCAGTTTGCTGGTGGTTAATCAGAGACAGGAGTCTCACAGAATTTCCTGCCTGGGCTGGCTTTGAACTGTGATCTTCAGATCTCAGCCATCTGAATAGCTAGGATTATAGGCGTGAGCCACTGGTGCCTGGCACTTTATAGAGGATGGAAACCCAGAGAGCACTATTAAACTCATTCCCCTTATGTGAGGTAGGGAAGATGGCAAAATGGAGAATTTTACATGGCCAATATTTCTCAGAGAACTCTGTCTTCTGTTGAGTTTGTGGTAGGTTTGGGGCTTTGGAAGGATAAAGGGAGAGGATTAAACACTGGTGAATAGAACAAGCAGTATAATTTTCTAGATTTCTTGGGATTCAATTTCTGATTTTGTGGCATAATGGTTGGAAGTTATTTTGTCTCAACTGTGTATCAGTTCCTTGGTTCCTGTGGCATCTGTCTACCTCATGTGGTGTGGAAAGAACTTTTTTTGTGTGTGTGAAAATACTGTACAGAGGGGTTACAATTACATGGGCAAGATAATGAGTACATTTCTTATCAAGCATTGTAGCCTCCTCCTTTGTTTCCCTTTCCCATCCCTTCCCATCCTCCCCCGCCTCCCCACCCAATCCTCCTCGGGCCCCCCCCCCCCCACACACACCAAAGTTGTAAAGTTCGTTTTTGACATAAAGACTTGTACATCTCATTGTTGCAATGGGTCCACTTGAATTCCTATTTAAATGATTTGTTTTTCCCCTTCCCCCCACAAATTATACCGACATCAAATACAGTGAAAGCAGAGGTTATACTGTGGGGGAGGGACATACAAAGCAACAAAGAAATAATCTTATAAATGTGTTAGAAACAATCGCATGAAAGAAAAAAACATTTGAATACATATCTTAAGGTTCATTTCCCTAACATCACCTTATCTGACCTTTTCTGCTTGACTCAGACATAGATATTTTTTTTCCAAGCCTTTCCATTTCCTAACAAATGGGGTAATGCCATTCTTTCTGATGGAGGCATAGAATTCCGTTGTGTATATATACCACATTTTCTTGATCCATTCATCTACTGAGGGGCATCTGGGTTGGTTTCATATCTTAGCTATGGTAAATAATGCTGCAATAAACATAGTCGTGCTGGTAGCTTTAGTGTGGTCTTGTTTGTAAACATTTGGGTAAATGCCCAAAAGTGGGATTGCTGGGTCATAGGGGAGCTCTATGTGGAGTCTTTTGAGGAACCTCCATACTGCTTTCCAAAGTGGTTGAACAAGTTTACACTCCCACCAACAATGCAGTAGGGTTCCCTTCTGTCCACATCCCCTCCAGCATCTGTTGTTATTAGAGTTCTTGATTTTAGCTATTCTACCTGGGGTGAGGTGGTATCTCAATGTTGTTTTGATTGCATTTCTTTTATGGCTAGGGAGGTTGAGCATTTCTTCATGTGTCTATTGTCCATCCTTGGAAAGAACTTTTTAAAAGAGGATAGGAGGGGCTGGGAAGGTGGCTCAGTGGTAGAGTGCTTGCCTTGCAGGCATGAAGCCCTGGGTTCGATTCTTCAGTACCATATAAGCAGAAAAAGCCAGAAGTTGCGCTGTGGCTCAAGTGGTAGAGTGCTAGCCTTGAGCTGAAGAGATGAGGGATAACACCCAGGCCCAGAGTTCAGGGCCCACGACTGAAGATAAAAAAGAGGATAGGAGATGCATACATGAAAGATGTTATGTTCAGCTGCATTAAGTTCCATTTTCACACACATGCATAAACTACTTGGTTGTATTTGCCATCTTTCACCTGCTCCATTTAACACCCCCAAGACAGTGTGTTCCATCTTCTTGATATTCATTTTTGTTAAATGTGAACTGTGCAGGTTAATTGTTCAAAAGGGCTTCGCCATGGTATCTCACAAACATACACCATACTTAATCAGATTAATATATATATATATGTGTGTGTGTGTTTATGTAAATATTTGTCTTTTAGTTCTAGCATCCACTCTTGAGAATAAACATGTGACTTTTGTCCTTTGGAGTCCAGTTTATTTTGCTTAACATAATGGTTCCTAGATCATTAATTTCCCCGTAAACAATAAAATACCATTCTTCTTGTGACTCAATAATGTCTATAATATATACATATTAGTTATAATTAAATTATATAAATAACACAATTATGTCATATTAATATGATGTATGCATTATGTAGAATAGAAATATATCATATATCAATATGATATATAACATAATGCAATACATGATATACAAACATATTATATAATATGCAAATATATAATATATATGTATTTGAAATTTGTTGACAGAATAGATCTTTTTTTAAAAATATAGAATATTGGAAATTTTATTATACAGTTAACAGGCTGCAGGCCACCAGTTGTTACAAAGGCCTGCACAGCACGCAAATACACATAACACAGCTAGGAAACATGCTAAAGAGGAAAGAAATAATGAAAAAATACCAACAAGCCAATTCAGCTCCAAGGGAGAGCTGAATTGGGACTCCATGATGACTAGAGACAAGCCAGGAGACAGGACACAGGACATGATCATGGAGACACATGTGGCATGGAGTCTGGGCGGCTAGGCTGGTCTGGGCCTAAATAGGTCCATGCAAGGAGGCAGATCTCCAGGAAATTCCCAGTCCCAGGCACTGGACTGACAGATTCAGTAACTTATCAGCTAAGTGCCTGCCCCTGCCTCAGGAGTCCAGACATGCCCATTATCTGGGAGACAGGTGATGGGGGGAGGGTCCTTCTCCCATCATGAAGACAAGATGCCAGACCCTACCATTCACCATGTGGACAATATGACGCCGGCCAGATCTGGCTTTCTTACTTCATTCCCTCCTTTTTTTCTTATGTACATGAAATCAAATCATTGATTTCTCTGTAAAAGGACTGAATTTTTGCCGAGGCCATTTACTCCTGTAATTTATGGAGTCTCCAGCAGTTAAAAGTTGGCTCCATATGGTTGGTACCCCTTCAGTCAGGGGACTTTGCCCTGCTTTCCCATGTCAGGCAGGTTCTGATTTACAAATCTATGACCCACAAAAGAATGTCCTGCAACCAAAGTCTTACATTAGGCAGATCCAAACAGTCTTTCGCCAGATGTTAGCTGCAGGTAATGGAGTCAGGCAAAAAGGAGTCCAGTCCACGTTGACCACGGTGGAGGTGGTCAGGATGATGACCAGATGCTGCCAGGCCGTTTTTGGACTGTACTCAAACAGGAATCTTATTCTCTTGACATAAAGTAAGGTAAGCCAGGTGATGGATATGATAATTACCTTTATTGTTCTAATCATTTCACAATGTTTACATATATCAAATCATCACATTGTCCACCTTAAATATATACAAGC